GCCCTCCCCGGGCCCCTGCACACCTTTCTCCTTTGGCAGCCACAGAGCTCTTCTAACTGCACATTTAATGTCACTTCCCTGCCTAAAACCGATCGGTGCCACCACTGCCCGGTTCCTCCCGCTGTGCGGACCGAATCCCCCCGTGTCTGATCGCCGCTGCCGCTCCCGCCCTGCACGCACAGCCCTGCGCACCTGCTCTATCAGAGCCCCTTCAGTTACTGGAACCGGCTGCTTGCGTCAGAGCCTGCCCCAGAGCGGCCTCCTCCTCACTGCTGAATTCACGCAGCGCTTACCCCGCGCCACGGTCCCTGAGCGCTTTGCATCCATTTAGTTCTCACGTTCGTCTCCATTTTACAGATGAGGCAACCGAGGCCCAGGGGGGTTAAGTCACGCGCCCAGGGCCACACACCCGGGCCGGTGGCGGGGTCGGGGTTCCAGCTGTGGGCGGCTCAGCCCATGCCCCCCCGCTCCCGCCAGTCTCCACGCAGGCCCCCGTCACAGCCCCTGGGGCGGGGGAGCGGGGACTGGGCGTGTGGCGCCTCTTGCCGTGCCCGCAGCACCCGGCCCAGCGGCGTGGGAGTTAACCGGATCCCTGGCCGGTCCGCATGGCTTCCTCCTCTGGCAGCAGGCACCAGGCTCCCAGCCAGAGGCTCGCCGGGCCTCACCCTCGCGTCCACCGTCCACGTCCTTCCCGGTGCCGTACTCTGGGCACCAGGGACAGGAAACCCCGAGTGTCCCAGGAGGCGGCCTCGCCCGTCTGGGTGGCCAAGCAGGCCGGGTGCTGCTCACGCGGGGGCCTCCGGCACCTCGGCAGCCCGATGGAGACAGGACCCCTGGACAGCTGGGGAGTCCACGCAAGCCACCCCCAGGCTGCAGGCTGCACCCCGGGCCTCCTCCTCCCCCTCTTGTCAACCCTTTGTCCATCTTTATTGCCGCCCGCTGCCCTTGGCCTGCTCCGGGTGGGAGCCGGAGCCCAGACGGTGCTGGTCCCCCCCGGGCCCCCCAGGGCCAGCAGGCCCCCCCCTGCACAACTGAAATATGTTGCCTGAGTGAGGAGCTTGGGGTGAAGCCGAACCTCCTCATGAGCACTGCTACATCTGAGAGCTATTCCTGCAAGATGTCTTGCGGTTTAAAACGGGCCATGATTAGTGTGTTTAGAGGACTGATAAAATGTGCTTCATAAGAAAATTAGAACGTCTCGTCCCGACGCTTTCTTGAAGCTGGTCCCATCAAGCGGAACTCTGGCGGGGTGTGACCAGCTGGGAGACTTGAAGACATTCACGCAAGGACTGGACTCGTGTTGACTGTATCGTTACTTACAAACCACTAACAGGGGTGCCTGGCAGGGCGCAGTCAGTTAAGCATTGGGACTCTTGGGGGCCCCTCAGTGGCTCAGTCAGTTCAGCATCTGCCTTCGGCTCAGGTTATGATTTCAGGGTCCTGGGATCGAGCCCCACATTGGGCTCCCTGCTCACAGAGAACTTGCTTCTCCCTCTCCTCCCTGCTTGTGCTCTCACTCCCTTTCTCTCTCTCTCTCTTTCAAATAAATAAAATCTTTTAAAAAAAAGAATTATCGGAAAAAGAAAAGTATCTGGACTCTTGCTTTTGACTCAGGTTGGGATCTTGGGGTCGGGGTCATGAGATCAAGCCCTGTTTGGGGCTCTGAGCGTGGACCCTGCTGGAGCTTCTCCCTTTCCTTCTGCCTCTGCCCTTCCCCACTCTTTCAAAATAAATAAAATCTTAAAAAAAAAATCTCCGCTAACAAATACATTAAGACTTTATAAACCTTATTAAAGTATTTCTGTTGGGATGGCTCCTCTGTGCTTCCATAGCAGATAAACCTCACATTCTCGGTGCTTCAGCAGAGCTCATTTGATGTACCCCTCGCCACGGGCCATGGTGACCCCTGCCAGGGGTGGTGGGGAGGAGAGGGCGGGGAGTGCTTCGTAACGATCAGGCCCAGGGGTGGCCCGCATCACATCTGCTCACGTCCAGGAGCCGGAGCCCAGTCACAGGCCCCCAGGGGTAGCGGGGCTGGGAGAGAGGAGCCAGTGGGCGCCAGTGGAATGAACCCTGGCAGCCTGTCTCTGCCCCGTTTGTCTCCTGCCAGCCTACGTGAGGATTAGCCCCACACCACACCAAGCACTTTGCATACAGAGAGCTAATGAGGCGGGTGTCAGCGCCGTCCCACACATGGGGACACGGGCACGGGGAGGGTAGCATGTAACCAGCTGGCTCCACAACCCGGCTGGGCTTTCGTCCCGCACGGGGCCGGGTATCAAACAGGCTCACTGCTGCATTAGCGTGGGGTCCCCAGGCCCTCCCTGTGTGTCACTTCTTCGGCCTCGTGCCCATGTGCACTTGAGAGCACCACCCCTACATCTCATTCAGCAGGGGAAGCTTTCCTCCGCACCCACGCCCTTTCCCCGAGCCTCTCTGGAGGTGGAGAGGAGGTCTGGAAATACCTTCCTGGCCAAAGAGAATTCAGCCACAGCTTCGAAAGAACTTCTTTTGTTCCTGGGGGAGGGTTTTTCCCCCTCTAAAAACCTCTTGGGTCAACAGGGTGGCTCGGTGGTTGAGCCTTTGTCTTTGGCTCAGGGTGTGATCGCAGGGTCCTGGGATGGAGTCCCGCATCAGGCTTCCCCCCTGCCCCCCCGCAGGAGCCTGCTTCTCCCTCTGCCTGTGACTGCCTCTCTCTGTGTGTCTCATGAATAAGATCTTAAAAAATATTAAAAAAAAAAAAACTTCTTTCCATAGGCAAAGGGAACAATGGGGCCGAAAAACTACCAGAACCCTCCATGGCAGTCGCTCAGTCCCTCCCACGAGGCTGGCGTTGGCCTCCCCTTTCTGGCAGTACCCCTGACTCCCTGGAACGCTCCTATTGGGCTGTATGGTGGTGGGGGCAGGGCCACTGAAGTCAGTTAGGTCCCCAGACTGCGGGCAGCCCAGGTGGCTCAGCGGTTGAGCGCTGCCTTCAGCCCAGGGCCTGATCCTGGAGACCCAGGATCGAGTCCCACGTCAGGCTCCCTGCATGGAGCCTGCTTCTCCCTCTGCCTGTGTCTCTGCCTCTCTCTGTGTCTCTCATAAATAAATAAATAAATAAAATCTTCAAAAAAAAAAAATCCCCAGACTGGAATCACGCCCTGAGCTGAAGGCACTCAACCGCTGAGCCACCCAGATGTCCCACTTAGGTCTCCACTTAAGTCATCTATCACTCCCAGAATTCCTCCTTTCTTTCCAGACCTGTTGTGACAGGTACAGCCCCAAAGACTGACTGCCACATGCACAAGCTTGGTGGAGCCCAAACATGAGCCTCTCCAGCATTTCCTGGTCCACAGGGCTCTCGGTGCCAACAGGCCTTTTCCCTGATCGGCAGTCACAGGAAAGCACACTCTCCTTCAGGGATCCCGCCACCCGAAATGCACATGGAGGATGTTGGGATTGTCAGGGCCTTAGTTATTTGCCATTAGTAAAAAGCATCTAATTTCACAAGAAACAAGCTGTGACTCAACTCACAGCAATCCTGTGGCTGGTGGCTCTCACCCTTGGCTGCACCCTAAAATCCCCAGGGGACTTACGAACCTGGTGCCCAGGCCACTCCCTAGAGCAACCACTCTAGTCTTGGGGTGGGACCAAGGTAGTGGGAATATTTTCAGCTCCCCCAGTGATTCTAGGGCCAGCCAATCTGAGTACCGCCTCGGGTAGACCGATGTTTTGTCAGGTATCAGGGGGGTGCAGGGAAGTGGGGAAAAGCAAGACCCTCAGGAATTACTTGTTAGCCTGGTGCTAGGGCCAAACTCCCTGAGGAATTCAAATTAGCTACAGTCACCTTTAATTTTTTTTCCACATAACACATGCAGCCAACATAAATGTCATTTAATTATTGAAAAATATGCCCACTGCCGAGTGATGGCAGCCATCCACCTGAAGGGTGCAGCCTGGACCAAATGCTTTCCAGAGTTGTGAGAGATGGGCCTTGTTTTTGTCCCAAGCTCTGCTAATGAGCGTATTTTTAAAAAGCCATTCCTCTAAGAGGCTAAGAGACAATGTTTTAAATCAGTGTGGGTAGCTCAGTGGTTGAGCGTATGCCTTCGGCTCAGGGCGTGATCCCGGGGTCCTGGGATTGAGTCCTGCGTCACACTCCCAATAGGGAGCCTGCTTCTCCCTCTACCTGTGCCTCTGCCTCTCTCTGTGTGTCTCTCACGAATAAATAAATAAGATCTTTTATAAAATAAATCAATGCTGTATATTCTTGAGCATAATTGTGGGGAATGTCATTTTTAAGTATCTTCTCTTTGGAGTCTTTAACCTTTTTAGGGAAGCTCTGGGTCTGGCTGGGGGGCAAGTGTACTCAAAAATCAAGAGGCGAACAACTGGACAACATGGCTTACAAGGGTTTTTCAGTACTGCCCTATAAAAATATCGCACAAATGTGTTTATTTTAGCAAACTTGCAAATGAGGACGAGACTGGCTTCATGAAATAATTTACTTAAAAGTCTGGCAATGGGGCGCCTGGGTGCTCAGTCAGTTAAGCAGCTGACTCATGATTTCTGCTCAGGTCATGGTCTCTTGGCTCTGGCTCTGAGCTCAGTCTGCCTGGAATCTTCTCTCTCTCTCTCCACTCCTCCCCCACTCACATGTGTGTGCACTCTCTCTCCTTCTCAAAAATAAATATTAAAAAAGAAAAAAAGTGGAAACATGCAAAGAAACCGATGGAGCGCTTTTTGTTTGCTTCTAAAAGGTGTTTGTCTCGACCACCCCAGGCACTAGGAGGTGGCTGTGCCCTGCCTTACCTGGTGACACCTAAATTCCACTTTCCATCTTCTTTCTGCAAATGACAGGAAAGTACAGTAGGCTTCACTGGCTCTGCTATTTTCCACAGGAACTTCATTTTCCTCTCCAACAGGAGTCAGAAACAGAGTGAGTGGGGACTGAATCCTCTGGACATCAGGCTAGGATTTTTTTCACTGTGACACAACACTCAATACTCACAATACACTAAACTCATAGATGATTTATTGCTTTAAGTAACTAAACAAGAAAGAGAAGAGACAGGCTGTTGTTTGGGTCGACAGTCGGCATTCTCTCTCCATGGTTTGCCAGTTGCATCTACTTAAAGCCTTAACAATACTTTCTGGACAATATAAACACGTGATAGCATACATGGAAACAACTTGGCCAATGATACACTGATGAAAATAGCACGTAACAAGGGCTCCTGACTGGTCGGGTTGCCCTGAAATGACAGAAGGAACGGGTGTTCATATGATGTGCTGAGTACAAAACCCTTAAAAATTTTTTTGGCATTAATACTAATACAGAATACTTTCTTGGACATTCTGCAAGAGCAGGTGCACACACAGCATTACCTCTTCACTTCCAGATTACCAGTATCTATGGGAATACTTTGAAAAAGCCGGGAGGTGGGGCACCTCCCCTCCCCGCTGTCATCTTCTCATTTTCTTTGCCAAAGCAGCAGGGTCTGCGGGGTTGAGATGGAGAAGGGCACCTGATGGCCTCCAGGGGCTGTAATGTCACCAAGTAGCTGGGCATGGGGTGGGGATGAACAATAAACAGCCTTGGTTTGGAGCCAGGGACGCCCAAAGATGGACTTGACTCGAATGCTCCCTGGAGACCGTGGGGGTGGACACAGGCACTGGATGTTCTAGTCCCTCCCATGGGACTGGGCAACGGACGGAGAAATAACTTGACCTCTCGCATTCTAACACTGGGGCAGTACGACACATTGCTAATGGATGTGCAGAGACCAACACTGTCAGGGACCCGGCCCTCAGGAGGACCCGGGTGAGCTCACGAGAAGAGGTCAAGCCAAGCCAAAGGGTAACATGTGACACTGGGGCGAACCGGCCCCCCACCCGGACACCAGGATGGAGCCTCGGGTCGGCCAGCTCATCAGGCTTTCAACACCAACACTGGACTCAGTTGTCTTCCACGGTGGCAGGCTCCGCAGCCCCCTCCTCGGGATGGGGGTGCCCAGTGCAGCCCCCTGCGGGGGCCCTGCAGGATCCAGCTGGACCATTCTGCACAGCCGCACCCTCCACACACAGCTGCTCGGGACACTGCTTTCCTTCGATGACATCCTGGATGGGGACCTTCAACTCCTCGGAGGCCTCGTCCTCCTGATGCGGGCCTGGCACAGAGTTTCCCACGTCTCCAACTTTGGAAAACTGGTCTTCTAAATTCTTCTCGTTTTCTTCTGCTTGTCGCTTGTCTCTGGCGCTGAGTTTACCTTTAGATTTCCTCATCTGCCTGCTGTGCATGTCTTCTCGGGAGAATCGCCACTGGAACTAGAGATCAGAGAGGGTGGGGAGAAATGAATGCAGTCTCCAGGAACCTAGAGCTTCACCGATCGCTCGCATTTGCACCCGTGTCACTTCTCAGAGCCAGACACACAATCCCCAGTATTCCTGGAGCACAGCACTACCAGCACCAAACTTGAGTCATGGCCCAAATACATCACACCCACTGCAAGAGTCTGCCCAAGGTCTTCCATGTGGTGTATTTTAGATCTGGATTTCAGGGGTCTCTGGGATGGGGGGTATGTCTTTCCACTGGCTTTGGGAAAGGAGGTCCTGAAATCCCATCATTTGGAGAGGCAGGATGGGAGAAGAGAAGAAACATGGGGCCTGTCCCTCTTAAGAGCCACGGCGCTGGCTACTTGCTTCCATTCTGAGCTGTGGGTTACCAGGCACTGGGCCTGCATTCTCTTAACCAGGTCCCCGGAGTTCAGAGGGCACAGAACCAGGGGCCAGTGCTGTGCTGCATGATCCACCCTCTCGTCCCAGCTCAGGCCAACTTAAAAGGCCATCCCAGCTCCAGGACTCCCCGGGGCTTTGGCTAATAAAGCCACTGCTGTGACTGCATCACAGCCCAGCTTCTCCCCCTGCCCACTCCTGTGCTCTCCTTTCCCCACAGGGCACTCCTCCCTAAAAATTCCCTCCACCCAAATTTTCAGAGGCTGCTTCCTGGGGAGCTGCCCCGCAACTAAGCATTTCCCCCATGTGGCAGGGAAGTCAGCAGAGGCTCAGAGTGGACAAGGTCGCACGGTAATGGAGTTGGGCAAGAATGGATCATGCTGACACTATGAGGAGTGATGGGCGTGAGGAGTCCCCAAGGTCGCGAGGTGCCCACCCGCCAGAGGTTGCCGCTGGGGCGGCAGCAGCGTGCGGAGGTCAGAGGCGGCCACGGGCCTCGAGGGGCATGCCTGGCAGTCTCCACGCCAGCGGGCATCAGGGCAGGAAGCTCAGACCACCCAGAGGGAAGGCAGCTGTCTGTCCTTGGGCAAGTTATTGATCTCTCCAAGTCTCAAATTCCTCGTCTCTCAGAGAGGCGTCGGCCCCGGCTGTGCAGCTCCTCTGGGCCCTTCTACCCCTGCCCATCTACCCCCCGCTTGCACTGTCTCACGCACACCCGGCTCTTCTCCCAGGGACTGACTGCTCTTGCCAACTAAGCAGAACTTCTGTGGGTCCCCTGGAAGCCCAGCCACATCCAGTTTCCTGTAGAAGATCACATTTTGTTGGTTTGCTGTAACCCACCAGGAGGAGACCCCAGCCACTTTCTCAGGGAACCGGCAGGGCTGCTGGGCACAGGATTTGGGGCTGTACGCACTGAGCTGGTGGGAACGATCCCAGCCAACGCTTTCTGTCCTCCCTAGTCACCCTGGGGAAATCTGTCAAGCAGGGTGACTTCTAGGACTACACTGTCTTCTGTGTCCTCAGACGGGCCACGGTGACGGTCACCCACTCCCCCTGCTGCCTGGGGGCCCCCCATCCTAGCACAGCTGTCATGGGGCCTGCAGCTAAGCACCAAGAAGGCCCTGACTCAACTCTCCCCTTTGCCTCCTTCTCTCTCTGGCAGGGGCATTCCCCCCTGGAACAGGGAAGGAGCAGGGGACAAAACTCAGGGTATCACCTGGAAGCGAAATGTTCCAAAATGTGAAGGCAAATGGCCTACAGGGTGGAACAAGCACACACCACTGTGCCTAGGGAGGAATGGGCGCACACCACGGTGCCTACCACAACTCTCACACTGTGGCAAGGCCTCCCGTTTCCCTGAATCCCCAAAGCTGTGTGCTCTCACTAGTCACTGTTAGCATGATTTTATAGATGAGCCCATAGAGGTTCAGCGAGGTTGAGTAACTTGCCCAGTCACATAGCTAGAAAAGAACATGCTGGAATTCAGACATGCTGAACATGCTGGCTCCAAACAACCCTTCCAGCCTCTCATTCTTGGTAGATGAAAGGCTTTAGGCTCTTGCTGTGGGTAGGAAGGGGGGGGCGGGGCAAGGGAAGACAGGAAACAAAGGGAGAGGCCAGGCACCTGTGGAAGGGCTCAGCCCAACACGTAGGCACCTCACCTTTCAGACTGTATGATGTTCCGATGCACCTGCTGGGTCAGGCGCTTGACTCATTAGGCCAAGTCGTCAGCTAATGGAAATCCAGATTTAATTGCCATTAAAAATAAGATACCTTGGTTCGGCTTATTTAAAAAAAAAGATCTATGCTGAAGCCTCCCTGACAGGCCTATTTTTGAAAAAAACAATAACGGCTGTCCACAGGTGAGCCAAGAAAGGGCCTCACGCTATTTAATAAGACGACACTGGCCCTCAGACTTGAGCGGACCCCACAATCATGTGGAAGGCTCCAAAAACAGATCACTCACCCTGTCCCAGAGCTTCTGATCAGTGCAACCTGGGGAGGCCGGGGAGACTTTGCATCTTTAACAAACTCCCAGGTAAGGTCCATACTGCTGGTCCACGGGCCACAGTCTGAGAAGCTCTGAGCTAAGAGAAACACACCCTCTGCCCTCCCACAGCCCTCAGCTCTGCCTCCCATGGAGGGGCCTCCTGGTCTCCCTCTCATCTTCACATCAGGCCCCCTTCACCACCTGGCTTCCCCTCCTTCAAGCAGAAGACAGTCAGGGGTTTTAACAAATAGCAACTGTTCCAGATCCCAAAGCTCAAAAGGGCAACATCTCAGAAAGCAAGATGAGGAGAAACAGGGTGGGACACAGCCACCCCTGTTGGACAGTGTCAGGTTTTTGGGTTGAGGCCCTGAGGGGAGGTCTGTAACCGCCGCCCAGCATCCTGGTTAGGATGGATTCCTAACCTCGGGAGGTACCAGGACAGCCTGTGAACAAGCAGGCTGCACGTGCTGGGGCCTTCCCAAGCCGTGTGTGTGGCACGTGGGTGTGTCGCTGCAGCCCACACCAGAAGATTCCAACTAGCTGTCCCTGTCAGAAAGAACCATGGAAAAGAAAAAAAAAAAAATCCTTCACCTGACAGCAGTGCATGTCCACAGTTCCATGTCGGCAAAGGGCTAATGGATTTCAATCCCACGTTTTAAAAGCTGTTATCTGCCTCCACTTCAAGGAGTGTAGCCGGAAGGAAGACTTTGGTGTAGTGGAAATCACCTATTAACTTGGTAGGAGTTTAATTATTTGCTCTGAAAGTCACACTCACGTGCACACAAAGAGGTTTCTTTCAAATGCTGAAAAGTCTTGATTGGAGAATTTTCTCTACTTTGCTGATTAAAAGAGGCCTCAATATGCTGTGTCCTTGGTGTGCCAGCCTTGAGGTCCCTTTTCTGAGCTTTCAATCCAGATGTAATACGAATTTCCTGCGCTCACAAGTTTCATTACTCATACATACAAAGGAAGAGAGTGTCTGAGGCAGAGGGAATAGCCAGGGCAAAGGCCCTGTGGTGACAAGGGACACAGAAGGTCATGAAGGCCACAGGAGCTGGAATGCAGAAAACGAGGACAATGGCAGAGGAACTAAGAAGGCCAGACCACACACGGCCCTGTGGATCCCACTGCAGACTTCCATCTTTATATTAAGAATCACACAAAGCTTTAGAACCATTTTAAGCAGTAGGGCGATAGGATTCAATGTGCTGTTTTCAAAGATTCCTCTGGCTCCTCGTGGAGAACGTATGTGAAGGGGAGACCTGCTACTAGCGGATTAGAGTTGTTGAAGTGCATGGTGGTGGCAAGAAGTGGAGGGATTTAAAGTTTCTAGGACCTAAAATAGACACGTCTTGAGGATACAGTGACTATGGCAGTGAGGAGACAGGGAGTCAAGGATGAGCCCTGGATGAGTTGCTGCCTCTGGGTGGTGGTGATGCCCTTGTTCTAGGTGGGGGTGGGGGGAGTGGGGGTGGCCAGGTCACAAGTTGCTCAGAGATGCTGAGTAGTGACGGGGCACATGCTGCTGGGGTCTTAGGGCAGAAGCGAGTACTGAAAATGCAGGTATAGGAGTCATCAACTCAGGTGGTCAGATTTCTTCTGGGGAGGAATGAAATTTTCTAAGGAAGAGACCAGAGAGTGAGAGACAAATGGGGCTGGGTTTGAACAACCTAATGGAAAACCAGGGCAGCAGTGTGGGGTCAGAGCCAAGAGAAAAAGGTGCTTCAAGAGGCAGAGGGCAGCCAACAGTATCAGTGCCGTGGGGGCTCAGGCACAGTGAGGACTTGATGGAGTCACTGCCACGGCCATGAGGGTACCCACACCTCGTGCGAGCAGGATGCCAACCTGAGTCAGCGGCAGAGCACTGGCCAAGACCACGAGAAGGAGACAAGCCATCTGGCTGTAAAGTCCCCTCTCTGGGACTCCACCAGTGAGGTGACCTCTCCAGGTCACACGCAAAACATGTGCTCCACACGAGCCAATCCTTTGAATGAGCAGGAGATAAGTAAGTACTTCACAACAGGAAGCAGCCACCCTAAAATTTTAGTACAGCTGATCGGGGTTGGAAGGGTCTACTGATCAGAAAATGAATGACTCCATCCTCTGGATTTTCCCCAAGGAAGTCGGTCCACCTTCTTATAGCAGCTTTAAAGCTCGGAATCTAAAAATCTCCGGCTCATTGCCTTCCGTGAGCCACAAACCCTGTGTCTCTCCTTTGGGAACGGCCCACAACCCAACCAGGAAGAGCCTGGCAGGAGATGACAGCACTGCCTCCCTCCCTCAAGGGCAGAGCCGGCGCGTTCTGGCGTCGATGGCAGACCTGCCCGTGCTGTTGCTGGATGTCACCGAAGATGCACGTGGTCCCTGGGAACTTTGGGCAAAGCCACAGCTTACAGTGGGCCGGGGGAGATCCATCTTCCAGCCGGAGGCTGACTGCTCCTGGTGGTTAATGGTGGCTTCAGCCGTGGCCTTCTGGCCCTCTGCTGCTGTCACCTGTCACATTAGCATCTTGGAGCTGAGACAGAGACTTTCCTCTGCATCCTACACCATCTGGCTTCAGGTCACCATCTCCTTGGCGCTCCTCCCAGGAGCCTCCCCCCAGCCCCTGGGTTTGCTGGCTGGTGAGGGGCTGCTACAATCTGTTCACTTGCTTGGTTGCTCCTGTCCAGGCTCTGTGTCCAAAGAACACGAGGAGCCAGGAGGGGCGCATGGGATGGTGCCAAGCGTGAGATGTGGAGCAGGTCCATCAGGCTCTGCCAGCGAGCGCTGCCATGGCCATCAAAGGGGGCTCAAGCTGGCTTCAGGTGGCACCTGACTTGGGCTTTGGCAAGTTCCCCTGACTCCCTCACCCTTTCCCAAGCCAATGGTGAACCGCTCACCAGCTGCAGAGAGTGGGAGTGCAAAGCATCAGATTCGTCTGACATAAGAGAAGGACTTGGGTTTGACTTCTGGAAACGCGGGACAATTTCTGAGAAATTCCCAGCCACTGTCTCCCAGCACGACTGTGTTCTCCAGGCCTGGTCACGTGCCTTCCAGTGTGGGGAGGAAGGCCCCCCGGCAGCCTCCGGCAGCCAGGCCTAAGGACTCACCGCCACGGACTGCGGGCTGGCCTCGGTCCATACCAGCCACTGCCACCGAGAGGCCCTCGGGTTGGGGCATGCCAACGAGGAGCCCTGGCAGCGTCTCCCTGCCAACATCACCAAACTTCTGATGTCCCGAGGGATCCAATGGGCTGCAGCCAGAGCTTATCATGAGATTAAGATAGAGAGAAGCTGGGCACAAACCCAAGCCAGCGCACCCCCTGGTCAGACGGCGGCTGACCTCATGCCCCTATTTTCAGGTTAGTGGGAGTATCTGGCCTATGTGAGCATCCGCCAGAACTGCTCTACTCCACAGTCTGGCCTGACTGCGGGAGACTGGCAGACGAGGAGATCCCCCAGCACCCCCCGGCGCCCCCATCTGGCTGGTTTCGGCAGCCTCGGGTATGATTCTGCTTGCCGAGGGGCTCAGGTGTTCCTCTGAGAGCCCGCGGAAGTCAGAGCTGGCTGCCCACTCTGCGGCCATAGAAAATCCAGCTGCAGGTGGAGTCCTGCCCAGGAAAATCAAGGTCACTCACCTTTGATTCCTTCTTCTTCATTTTCTGAGGTAGACACGGTCTCTGAAGAAAGACGATCTGCTTGGTGGACACATTCCCCTCCCTGTAACACACACAGAGCTGAGACTGTGTTACACCTGGGGGGACCCCAACCTCACCGATGTGCCCGTCCCTAAGGTCATCAGGGCTGAGCGCCCACAGACAGGAAAGCTGCCGCCCCACAGTGAGGGGTCGGAAATCGAGAAGCTGCCCCCCACCCCACACACCAAGCCATCCCCTTCCACTGGATTCCAGGGGTCTCTGCCAGGCGCCCAACAAAAGCGTCGTGGGCCTCTCTGCCAAGTCAGCTTCGTAGCTGGAAGCTCCCCTTCCCTCAGTGTGAAATAACAGCTGGCATCTTGGCCAAATGATGACAAACTGGCTTCTTTAGTGACTCTCAAGAGGTGGAAGGCCTCTTCCCAATCTGTCTTTGGATATGAGCCGAGGAGAGGTCAGAGTGGCCCAGGATGGGTGGTGAGCTCTGCCCACCGGCCTCTAGGGAAGGCTGGCTGAGCACAGGGTGCAGCCCCGGGCCTGATTCACCCTCCTGGGCCCTGAGGCGGCCTGGCTCCTGTAGGCACAGGTGAGGGGTGCTCGGCAGCACTACACATTTTTATGGTACTACACATTTTATGGGTGTGCTTTCCTCTCGGCCCCCACAGAGCCGCCTTTAAAGGTGGCAGAAATATTTGTGAAGGAGATCACGGTCTTCTCTGCTGAGGCAAGCACCACTGCATGGAGTATCAGAGGGAAAGGAGGGAGAAAATGAACATATTTTGTGCTGGGGCTGGGCTGGGTGATTTCACACATCATGGCTCATTTAAGCCTCACCACAGAGCTCCAAGGAGTGGGACTGCCGCCCAACTGTAAAGACAGGAGACAAAAGCTCAGTTAAGGATCGGGCTTGCGATCACACGGTGAGGATTCAAGCTCAAACCTGCCTGGTTCCAGGCTCTCTCCACTCCACCATGAGGAGGCGTGTATGGCACAGGCAAGCGGAGGATTAGGGGAGATTATAGAGCAGTTATTGGATCTGAGAGGGAGACAGAGACACCTGTCTGTACCCTCTGGGTGTAGAGAGCTCAAAATGAGCTGGGGCTTCACATTCAAATCCATTCTCATCATGACTCTTGTCCTTTGGAGTAGGTAGGGGGACAGATTTAGAGAAGCTACAGAACTTGACCAGAATGGATAGTTAGCAAGTGGAAGGGTCTGGACATGGGGTCAAGACTGCAGATCACAAATTCAGCATTCTTTCCACCCCTCTGCACCATCCCATACCCACAGAAATCTTGGTGGTGATGCAGCCTGGACGCTCCCCATGGCCTGAGGCCCAAAGGTGGCTGCAGACCAATGCCTGGTTGTATGCAGACCCGCTGTGGCCCAGTGTCAGGAGGAAGACATGTGGAAAGCCCAGACAGCCTCATGGAGGGACCCAGGAAGGCAGAGATCGTCACCATCATTCTCCACCCTCAGTCCGCAACTGCTCCACAGCTGCACTGCCCAGCTGTCCCCCCAAATCACCAGCCTTGCCTCATGCTGGCCATCACCCTGCAATGGTGAGCATGCAGTAGGACTCAGGGAAGGTGGAATATTGAAGGCCATGGGAGGAGGCATCTCTACAGGTCGGTGACAAGGCTGCCTGGTGTAGAGGAGCACCTGACTCTGGAGACTGAGGGTCTAGTCTCAGTTCTGCCACTTACTGGCTGTGTGGCCTCAGGTACATGATGGAGCCTTTCTGAGCCTCAGTTTCCTCACTTGTAAAATGGGAATCATATCTATGCTTATAACCCCACAGGATAGTTGGGAGGATTAGTTGAGATAAACCTGAAATACAGATGGAAGGCCTTTCAGGGCTGATGTGCTTGGGAAACGCCCATGAGCTCAATGGAGGGTGGGCCAACCTAAGGTGGACAAATTCTCCTAAATGTGAAACTGTAGGGAGTGCCACAAGCAAGGGCCAAGACCACAGATCTTCACATCCTCTTTGTGGGACTACTGACCAGGATCATGATCTTGGGTAAGTCCTTCAACCTCCCTGGCCATACCTTCCTCAGCTGTAAAATAGGTTTTGTAAAAAGATTTTACCCTACATGATTTTTTTGAGGACTAAATGAAACTTTACTTGCAAGGTACCTCCTCAGGCCAGCATAGGACACAGAGTAGGGACTCAATTTCATTTGTACCTGAGAGCCCTGGGTCCCCTCAACCCAGCAGGCTCATCTTTGACATGCCTGGCAGTCATGATTCATGGGCCAAGACTCCCCATGTGGGAAAAGGAGTGCAGAGGTGATGGTTAAGAATGAATGCTCCTCATCACTTGCCATCAGGGAAATACAAATCAAAACCACAATGAGATACCACCTCACACCAGTGAGAATGGGGAAAATTAACAAGGCAGGAAACAACAAATGTTGGAGAGGATGCGGAGAAAAGGGAACCCTCTTACACTGTTGGTGGGAATGTGAACTGGTGCAGCCACTCTGGAGAACTGTGTGGAGGTTCCTCAAAGAGTTAAAAATAGACCTGCCCTACGACCCAGCAATTGCACTACTGGGGATTTACCCCAAAGATACTGATGTAGTGAAATGATGGGACACCTGCACCCCAATGTTTATAGCAGCAATGTCCACAATAGCCCAACTGTGGAAGGAGCCTCGGTGTCCATCTACAGATGACTGAATAAAGAAGATGTGGTCTATGTATACAATGGAATATTACTCAGCCTTCAGAAAAGATGAAAACCCACCATTTGATTCGTTTGTGGATGGAACTGGAGGGTATGATGCTGAGTGAAGTAAGTCAATCGAAGAAGGACAATCATCATATGGTTTCACTCATATGTGGAATATAAGAAATAGTGAAAGGGACTATAAGGGAAAGGAGGGGAACTGAGTGGGAAAAATTAGAGAGGATGACAAACCATGAGACACTCCTAACCCTGGGAAACAAACAAAGGATTGTGGAAGGGGAGGCGAGCAGGGGGCTGGGGTAACTGGGTGACAGGTACTGATGGGGGCACTTGACGGGATGAGCGCTGGGTGTTATACTATATGTTGGCAAACTGAATTTAAATTTAAAAAAATCTGGAAAAAAGAAAACCAATCTGAAATCCCAGCTCAGTCACTTCCCAGCTGGAGTCTGCATAACCACTCCAGCCTCACGGGCTCATCACAGGATTAGATAAATGAAGCACATGAAGTGTGCAGCACAGAGTAGGTGTTGAATAATACTGACGATGACTGTTGTTACCTGGTAGTCTTGATGACAGGAGTTGGTAGCACACAGGTGAGCTGCCAGCCATAGGCCGCCAGGGAGTTCAGCAGGGGCACGTAGTCCGTCTGCACCTCGACACCCTGGGGGAGAAAGGCCACTGTGAGGGCTGCGGGGCCGAGTGACTGAGGGGGCACTGGTCCATCGGCCAACTTGACAGAGCAGTAAAGAAGTGGGGCACCCTGCAGCCTGGAGGCCCGGCTCCAAGGATGCTTACAGACTTTGGAGCCAAACTCCAAACACAGGGTTTCTTTCTGGGTCCTGACTCAGTCTATGCAGCGACAAGGAATTAGAGCCAAAGGATTAATGTGTTAATTTGGTTTTATTCTTGTCTGGACAAATAGCCTCCTGTGAGTCTCTCTGGAGAAGCACAATCACCTTGCTTCAGAGCTGTATTCAGGGCTGATGACAACACATGCTAAGGATTTTGGAGCGTGTTGTGGGGAGTTAGATTACATCACATAAACGATCAAGTCGTTTGCATCCAGCCATAGCAGCGACACAGGCACACAGTCACCCATGGACACACAGTCACACACACAGGGAGCTTCACCTGTGTTACACATCCTGACGTAAACGGGGTAATGAGCGCTCTCCGTACTTCAAATCAGTGTGTGTGTGGTGGTGGGGAGCACTGACTTGCCTTTCAATTTAAAAACTCAGTCCTGCTGCCGTGGGAGGGCACCGTAATGAGAGGCCACTGCCCTGGGTACCATGTCATGCTCTCACTTTGCGCCAGGCCTGGTTTCTTTCCCTGGGCTCCCTGCTGACATTGGAAGTGAGGCCTCCACCCTGCCCGGTGTCTACCATGGATTCCCCATCTCGGAGGTTGGCTTCAGAACCACAGAACATCTCAGACCAGGGTCCAGATTCCTTCCAACCAGGGCTAGTCAGCCAGTATTTCAGTATTTTGTGGGGCACAAAAGATGAATGAAGGTACAGTCCTGCTGCTAGAATTCACAGTCCGGCAGAGGCAACAGCACAAACATTCGAGTAATGGAAATATGAAATGGCTTACTGGGCAGGGCCACGAAGCTGAAGAGGCAGGATGCCAGCTGTGTGTCAAGGTAGGCTTCCTGAGGCCCAAGGGCTGGGCAGATACTTGACAGGTGGAGCTGGGGAAGAGGCATTCCAGGGGAAGAGGTCCAGCATGTACAATAGAAGACCACACTGGGCCTTGAGCACCGGGGAAGGTGAGCTTCACTTGGGACTGGCACTGCTCACAGGGGACCATAGGTAGTGAGTGGCTGTCCTGCTGGAGGCCTTCTGGAAATAGAACCAGCTCATCTTGAGTAAGAGGGCTGGCAGAGAGATGAGCCTTGCCTCTTTAAAATGGCTTCTAAAACCCCCATTGCTGGGTGCCCATCCCGGTGTGGCTACCAAGTCACCTGAACTCCTGGCAACTAACTGATCCCTTTGGGAGCCTGTTTCCTCAACTGTAAAAAATATATCTTGGCTTATGATGACGGTTCTCCAAGTGTGGTCCCCCAGCCAGCAGCATGGACATCACCTGGGAACTTGTTAGAAACAGAGTCTTGGGACCCTGCTGAGACCTACCAGATCAGAAACCTGGGGGTGAGGTGCCCTGGAATCTGTTTGAAAGAACCTTCTCACTAGTCCTGATTCAGCAAGTTGGAGAAGCACTGCCTGAATAGTCAATTAGGTCTCTCTCTTTCTCTTTTTAAGATTCATTTATTTATTTTAGAGAGTGAGTGAGTGAGTGAGTGAGTGAGTGAGTGGCGGGGAGAGAGGAAAGAGAGTCTCAAGCAGACTCCCTGTGGAGCCCAGAGCCTAAAGTGGGGCCTGATCTTCTGACCCTGAGATCACAACCAGACCCGAAACCAAGAGTCTAATACTTCACTGACGGCACCACCCAGACACTCATCAATCAGGTCTCCTCTGATGACACAGAAGAGTCTGCAATTCAGAGGCCAAATATAATCAGTTGTTACCTCAGAGCTAACCTTCCGTCATCCTTCTCCACTTGAGAAGAGGGCTCTGAAAGGGAAGTGGGGTGAGGAAGGGGAGAGGGCAGGGGAAGGACAGGCAGGCTAAGGAGCAGGGAGAAAGGAAGGGGCCTTAATAAGAAGGCAAGGAGCAGGAAGGGAGGAAAGGAGAGAGAGGCCCACGTCTCATCACTTGACCGGAGGGCCAGGAGGGGCCCCCATGCTGACCCTTTCTCCGAAGCCCCCACTCAGGCCCGGAGATGGCAGGTGACCCCACGACACCCCTTTCTGCCCAGCCCCCTGGCCACAAGGGGGAACCCCCTTCCACACCAGCTGGCTGCAGCCTTCTTCACTGGGCCAGGCCCCTGCCACCTGCTGTGGCTGCTTTGTCCTGACAACCCTGCCCCCATCTCCTGCAGTCCCGATTTCAAGAAGGGAGGGAAAAAGTGTTAAATCCACACTCTCAAGCTTTGCGAGGTTATGATTACTTGGGCCTATCAAGAATAACCTTCCCACTTTATCAAGCGCTGTGACAAACCCGCCACAATCAGACAGTAGCCATGGCAACTGGGACAAGCTTTGGCGCCTCACAAAGCCCTGAGTGGCAGAATGGAGTCCTTTTATTAGTGACTGTGGCCCGGCTGGGTTTTTCGCGGCGGGCACCCCGAGCCGCCAGACAATGGACGGCCCCGCCGCAGCCTGACCTGCCAGCGCAGACGGGCCTTGCCTGGGCTGCCTCTGTTTTGCTCTATTTTATTTCACTTTGTCACTATCTTAAAGAGAAAGACAGCAGGATTTCTCCCGAACAGTTTTTCCCCTCAGGGTAGGGGATGTCAGCCAGAGGGTGCAGAAGCAGAGAGTCTAAAAGGGAAAGAGAAAACACAACAAAACATAACCCTGCTTGAGAGAGCTGAAGGTTCAGCCTCGAGTGTTACGATCTGGCCGTCACGTGGTGAGCCGCAGAGTAAAACACAAATGGCAGGGGGCGAGGCGCCACACTCTGCCAAACTCTCCGGCTCCCACTGTTTGGGGTGGTCTTGATTTAATTAATGGTAAATGTGGTTTTTCTGTAAGCATCTATCAAAGCCGGTTTGCATATTATCAACACTGTATGAAGATGGCATTTCTAGAATATGACATGAGGCCCATGCAGTCAGTGGAGGAGGCTTTCAAGTCCATTAGCTCAGAAAGGTGGGAGAAAACCTATCCGGGTGGAGGCTCCCTTTGATCTGCTTTTCTGTGACACTCCAGTGAGGACAGAAAAGCACAAACAGCACTCCAAAGACAGCCTGCTTATCAAACGGAAAGACATTTCTTTCTGGAAGTAGGAGCACAAATTTTAATTAACTCTCCACTCTCCTGTGTGGATCCGTAATCTCCGATCACACCTGGAGTGCTAAAAAAATGGAGCATGTCCTGTGGTTTTGCAACTTGTGTAAAAGGAATTCATTTGTATTTATGGCTTTTTTTCCCCCTTTGTTCTCTATAATTTCTCCAGTGGCTGCAAATCAACTAAGGAAACAGACATCCAATGCAACCTTCCCTTACCCTCCAAAAATCATGACAACAGAATGTAGAGTTTACTAAGAAATGCTTTTGTCTTTTGATTATTTTGAAAGATCCTCCATGCAGGGAAGTAATGAGGAGGTAACATACTGGTCCAGTGAGAAAGTTGGTATCCTGAATGTCAGTTTGCTCTTCTCTTTTCTCCTCTTTCAATCTGTGGAAGCAATCTGGGAGAAACGCAGTTTCAAAGAAAAGACTTGGATCCTTCCACATGACTGTGTAGATGAAGAGAGGAATTTTACTTCCCATATCTGAAAAGTGTGTGGGACCAGCACTGGGATGGTCTCCATACCTGGAAACAGTGACTGGGGAATGTTTGCCTCTATTCCTGACTGCCACCAGGCTGGGCCTTCGCCTTTCACAGAGAGGGTGTGTGAAGGTAGAGCCCTGCAAAGACACATGTGTGTCTTTTGTAAAATTGCTGCCAAAACACTAATGCCCAACACTTATTGGCAGGGTATGTATATACCACTGTTTCTTTCCTTTCAACTTTAGATATCCTTTTATTTCCTACCATGAGAAGTAAAGGCTTAGCATTCCCATACACATTTCTTTCTTAGTGCCCCAAATGGTCACAGTGTAATTCTAATCAAATCAGAAGTTAGTGTTTGTGTTACCACAACTTTGCAAATGTTGCTCATTGCCAGGGCAAGCAATGCACTGTGACTCTGCCTTCTTTTTCACAGGATACTTCATTTTTCCTGGAGTTAATTATATCCTCAGTTTTTTTTCTTTACATGTCTGGTTGTATGTGAACCCATGACTAATATTTATTCCATGCTCCAACAGCTATACTTTATGCCCATCGATAAATATCCCATGTGCCTAAATACATTAATTCTGTGTTTGTTTTTTTCTCCATTAGGGACATCACTTCTGGAGCTTTCTACACCCTTGCTCCAATCCTGGTCTGGATGCTTTCCATGACTGGGTTCATCTGCCATTGCTATCTAAGGCTGGTGTTTTCTCTTTCTTGGGTTCCTCCACATTTTGCTGGACTGCATCCTCCAGTGGCTCCCTAGGAAGCAAATGCCCTGGAAGTCATTTGATTCTGTGCATTCATAAAAGTATAACTATCCTCACCTTTAACTAACAGTTCAAGTAGAGAAGTCTGGGCTGAAATCTACTTTTCCATTAAGATTTTTCAAGTACTGCTTCACTAGCTTCTAGAAATCAGCACTGCTATTGGGATATCTACTTTGATTGCTAATACTTTGTAATCTGTTGCGTGTCATATGCTTTTAGGATATCTTTCCCGTGAAGTTTCAGAATTTCACAATATGCCTTGGTGTGGGTCGTTTTTGCTCATAAGGCTACACACACTTGATGGCCTCACATTCTGAGGGTTCTTGTCCTTCAGTTCTGAAAAGTGTTCTTTGGTTTTCCTTTGATAGTTTTCGGTTTCTCCATTTTCTCCCTTCTTTCTGGATCTTCTGTAAGTCAAAATGGAGGACTGATATTTTCATGTCATTACCCCTCCCTATTGTCTTACTTGGTCTTTTTATTTTTCCTTTTGAAAGATTTCCTTTATCTTTCAGCCTTTTTATTATATTTTAAATTTTTCTGCAGCT